CCAACATTTGCATATACCCGCCCATGATCTATGCCAGCCGAACCTGCGCAGCCGAATCATCAGAAGTTCTGCAGGTATTGTGAAGAAACAAGCAAGGATAATCACGAAAATGGCAGCTCATGGAAATAAATGTTATGTTCCAGGCTGTGCAGGGGATGTGAAGTGCAGGGATGGGTTGGTGTCTGTATTCAGAACAGAGCAGAGCTCAACATTATTATTCATGACCCTTCCAAATGAGGTAATAACAGATCATTTAATTCTAGGGACAAATCCTAGGGCTGTAAATGGACATGTAAAACCTTTTCTGGAGATGTTTTGCCCTTACCTAAGCCACATACCTTCTATGTAGATATCAGAGAACAATTTAAAATATTGTATCAATGCATTCTATGGGCCATGCCCTCTACTCAATATTCCGTTTCAGCTGCAAATACGTCACTACACTGAAATAAAGCCGGCAGCAACTTCCGGTTCACGCGGACTTTAAGACAAGTCATGTCACTCGGTGGCCATCTTTGAAACGCCTCTCGGGCATGCAAGTGCAGCTCCTATCTCTTGAATGGCGAAACATAAAATTCTCCAAAACTGTTCACTAAACTTACGATTAAATTTCATATTTGAAATCACCAAAGAAATCTGACAACAACTGTGTCATAAATGTTGTTTCTTTTCCTCAAATAGCGTTATAAAAGGCTTATTTTTCAGGCAAGATCAGCCAGTGCGCATGCGCAGTCCTAAGCGCACGTCTCAGAGCGCTGACTGTTTCTATAGCAACCGGGACTTCTAACGGCAGCTGCAGTGATGCACTGACTTTACCGATTAGCCATTGGCTCTTTTATTCAGAAGGCGGGGCTTCCTGCGATTGAGCGGCCATATTGAGCGTTGCATTTTTCCCCATTCAAAACTATACGAGTGACATGTCTTGGGTATTCTATAGTCTTTGACTAAACATAGGAAAAGAAACACTAGAACAAGTGGAACAGAAAACACACTTCAAAATAAAAGTACATATGCCAAAACCAAGAAACACAAAATCATGAAACATGTAACAATATGATTTACTGTTTCTGGGAGTCCACATTTATCCCAATTATACATTTCATGTTTGGGAACGTGTGCACTTTCATAACTTGACTTTTAACTAGCAGACTTCTGGCTGCAAGGCATACTCCGGTGCTGCGATGCAGGCACAAGGTGTTGCTTTTTGTTTTGTAAAGCAACCTAGTTGCTCAGGGCAACCGGAAATATCTAGAGGAAATTTACTGAATTCATCTAATTACACTACGGTTATTTTTTTCACCCTGCTCCTGGAGAGCTACAATCCTGCAGATTTCACCTCCAACCCCAATCAAACACACCAGAACCAGCTAATCAAGGTGTTCAGGGTTGCTTGATAATTACAGCAGTGGTGTGTAAAGTACCTGGGGTGTATTCCAGAAAGGAGGTTCAACAAACTCCGAGTTAAAACTTGAACTCTGAGTTGACTTACCCTGAGATTGGAAACTCTGAGTTTTCGGTTTCAGAACAGCTGAACAGAGTTAGTTCAATTCACTCCGAGTAGGTTGACTCTGAGTTTAGCGCGTGCACCACGACTATGAAAAGCCATGATCAATGGAGCTCCGAAATTACGATTCACCATGGCAACAGCACCCGACAAAAAGACTTCTGCATTCTACGGAATATGTAACTTTAATTCTAAATCAATGTTATCAGAGGTGAAAACTGGCAGAAAGGTAATTTATTGAACTGATATTCATTTTCATGGTATCCCACAGGCAAAAAAAATGAAAAAAATGTGGCAGCAGAATTTTTTTTTACATAAAAACATAATTCAATTAGGTAAAGCTTCCAGCGTGAAATGGGTGTAGGCTAACGTTACATGACTTTACAAATATTTGACATTCAATAAATATCATTCAGTGTATATCTATTTCGATGTGCAGCAGCTTTTTCCACATAGTATAATGCTTTTTCACATAATGTTCTCTAATCCAACATGCTACAATTTTTTAATTAGGGTAATGAAAAACATTTGACTTCTATTCAGAAGCCAACAGCAAGAAGGCTCGAAGACTCGTAAAGTGGGGGGAGAACCTGCACCAGCACCACTGACAGATGAAGAGGAGATGGCCACAATACCAATATTAACATCCAACAGGGAAAAGAATAATTGTTGCTTTTGTATTTGTAGAACATAAAGATGACCAAATAAACTGTGAATAATTTGTGTTTAACAGCTGTGTTACGGCATATATCTTGCACTACCCTTCCATTCCATACAGTAATCAGCTTCATTTTCAGAAGCTGCGATGGTGAGAATATGTGTGTAATCAATGCATCCAACCACGCTGGAAATCCTAAAGGAAATTCTAATTATTAGATTACTTAGAGGTCGCAACAAGGTTTTATCAAGTGAACGCCATTTAAAAATGGTACCGATCAAATAAATATGCATGTGGATATGGCAAAATAAATAAATAAAATAAAGTCCTCTCATGATGTAAATGAAACTCCCTGCGAATTAATGCAGCCTCCTCATCTACAGGTTCCCTTATAAAAAGACATGCCATTTTTGTCACATTTACCGTGTCTGCATGATGAAAATGAAAGTGGTCCGGTGAGAAAAATAATCTTGTTTCCATTTTCATTAAGATTATTTTTCTTACCCCACTGGCAATTAATTTTACTTGTTTACCCCAGGAAACAAGACTAAATATCATATATATTTTTCTTATATAAAAAATGCATCATGATTTAAGATTTTTTAGATATTTGTACTTGAAATAAGGCAAAAATTTCAGCAATAAAAGCAATTTTTGCAGCGTGAATGAATGAATGAGGTATTTATACATTGCTTACACTTTAAAAAGGGGGAGGAGACTCTAGGTTTACCGAAGAAAACCTGCTCCAGACCAGGTTAGGTTCACAGAGTAAGTTACTATGGTAACTTACCGAGAGGTTTAGTTTTGTCTTTTACTGGAACCGAAAACCCTGATTTTCCCATCTCAGGGTAAGTCAACTCAGAGTTCAAGTTTTAACTCAGAGTTTGTTGAAACTCCTTTCTGGAACACACCCCTGCACACTTATAAAACCAATCCACGCTTGTAGTATTTGCATTCTTCAGTTCCTCAGGGTGTTATGTTACCTTCCTTCTCTCTTAGTTTCAGACTCTGGGATTGTTTTCAGCTGTAGGTTAAAGCAGGGGTTTTCAGTAGTTGTCACAGACCCTCACACACATAGAGGAGAAACAATAATGTACAGTATGTGGAAAATAATGTGTTTTTTCTACCTTAAACCGCATAAACACATTTCATTACACCAAATACACAAAATAATGTTCTTTTTAGCAACATCATAACCCCTAACCCCTTTAAACTTATAGTTATTATTAAGTTTAACAACTTATTATTAACAACTTACTGAAATGCAATTTTAAACTTATTATGTTGGCTTGGCACAGTGTGAAAGACGAGAGAACTGTCACCGCACCGCAGTCCGCACGTGCTCACAACAACAGCATTTGTACTTGTTTCAGATCCTTTTAAAATAAAATATTCCAGCGATTGCATACTATCCACCCATTAGAACACAACAAGAGCTAAATTCAGGTGTTTGTGAGCTGTTTTAGTGTGAAACTGAAAGCCTTGCGTCAGGTAGGCTATCTGAGCTCGCGAGACTGCAGCGTCCTCATTAAACTTCTGTATTTGCACGTCTTGAAGCCTTGTGAATGCAAACACTCCAGCGAATTTACAGAATATAATTATAAGAACATATTAAAGGGCTAAGTTGAGTGCATGTGAGCTTTATTTATGTTTGACTGACATCCGGCTCGCGTCGCGCCGAATTCTCAACACTCGAATGGACAAAAAGGCTATACAGAAACTACATAATTTACATGTCTTTTACAGCCTTAAAACACTCCAGTGAATGAAGACAATACAATTAGAAGAACATAAAGAGGTAAAATGAGTGCTTATGAGTGCCTGTGAGATATTCTGTGTCTAACTGCAGAGCAACGCGTCGAGTCTCGGACACTCGACACATTGACTAATTGAGAGGTTTTTTTTGTGTGTGTGAATTTAAATATAAACATTACATTTATATATACAGATATAAATGTAATGATCTTATACATATACAGATCTTTACATCTCCAGAGTGAGGAAAAGGGCTAAAAAAATCAACTGTTGCCTTCTGGTCGGCGCTACAGAGCACTGACCACCAGAACAGCCAGGCACAAGAACAGTTTCTTCCCGCAGGCTATATTCAGCCTGAACAATTAATCTTTCATAATTATACATCGTCCATCACAACTAACATAGTTATCTGACATATTTATATTAAACTGCACACTTTGTAAATAACATATCTGCGCACTAATAACATATCTGTACATTTATCTAAACAATTACATTTTTTGCTATACTTCTATTTCTGTATATAGTACATTATTTAATGTTTTTTTATTTTTATTTTTATTTTTTTATATATTACATCCCTACTGTGTTATTCCCATGTATGTCTGCACTATGTTTGTACTTTCTTCTACACTGGAAGCTCCTGTCGTCAAGTCAAATTCCTTGTGTGTGTAAACATACTTGGTAATAAAGCTCTTCTGATTCTGATTCTGAGAGCATTTGGGGTTACGAATTAAAATATCTGTAAATATTCACTGTTGATACATAGTGTTTTTGAAAAAAAAAATACATTAACATTTCACATTTAATTAGTGAATTAAAAAAATAAGAATACACATATTTGGATCAAATGGACAATGTAATGATACATGATCTGCATGTTTTCCTTTATAGTATGCTTACAGTAGTATTACAGTATGACCTTATGTAAATGACAGGTCCTCGCAGAAATTTCTACTCAGCCTTTAGGGCACAAATAACACCAGTAAAGAATACCTATTATTTTCCTTCTGACTTATGGTAGATGCCAAATAGTATGATTTATGCATTCAATACTCACTGGAGAGTAGGCTAGAGGATTGTGGCAATAACATGCATGTTGGCAGTGTACATGTCTTTGCCCTGTGAGAGTAAAAGGAAAACTTAAGCAGACTACCACTTGCCATTCAAATATGAAATGAAGAAACTCTCTAAAAAGTCTCAAATAAACTACAGCTGATATAAAATAATGTGAAAAATTTTTTATACATGTGCTCAAACCTCTTCATAGACGAGTTTCATGCAGGCATTTCCCATCTACAAGAGAAACAATCAAAATAGCTAGCACACACACAAAAGTCTAAGCTCTTTAAACAAAGAAAACAAATAGCATAACGTTACATGCAAATGTTACTTACTTGCATCTACCTGACCGTCAATAAGTACATTTATAGACATTTTTAGACTTTAATGCGACTATAGAAATTTATATCTATTAATATATTAAAATTAATTGACATAGACTCTTAGCTAATCATTTAACTATAAATGTTGCAACGTTGCACGATTGCTGAACAATAATAACTTTAGCGATTATTTAACATACCTCTTATTCGTGTTGCTTCTGTTCTGATGGCTCATACTGTACAGCCTCCCACTACTGTTACATCATAATTCACTGATCTATATAAAGATGAATATAAATCAGTGGGCAAGATGAGAACTTAGATAAGGTTTGTCCAAGAAGTTGCTATATTTGTCCCTAAACTTTAAAAAAAAATGTCTCAAAAGGGGTGGGGAAGTCGCTAAATCTACCCACAAAATATCTAAATTGGCAACACTGCGGACAACAACCGTCTCGACCACCAGGTTCATGTGTCTCACTTCGAAAGCTGCGTAGAAGATGACAGTCAATAATATACAGTATACAAGCATGACATTCTCTAGATGGGATATGTGATAGTTGATGTGATAGTTGTCATATAAAAACTAAAATGAATGTAAAACACGTCTTATGGAATTAAATAACTACTTTTGATGTCTTTGTTCATTTTTTTTTTTTTCATATAAAGGCAAGAGAAACGTAAATTACATCCAGTTTATTAGTAACATCGCATGAGCGTGAATCATTCATGCGATCATGCAATTCATATCTATGGCCGTCAGAGGAGGCAACTGGATTGAATGAGGTTCTGCAAGCTCAGGGAAATAACTGGTAAAAGTCCATTCAAAGCAGATGATTGTAAAAGAGAGCACACGGACAGCTCCGAAGTGCTCTTGAACGGTCAGCACAGATGTGATGATGGATGCAGTAGAGCCAGACAGAAGGGTTTCTCCTCTGAAGAACTTTGTGGCTGGAGGGGTCGGTGGGGTCTGTCTCTTATTCACTGGACACCCGCTGGACACTATCAAGGTAAAACTTCACCCAAGAGGAGAAAGCTGCATGATAAGAGTCATGAAAATAAGGATGAATTGACAAGGGTGTAATTTACAACATGTAATGATTTTTCATCAGCTTTAGCATGATTAAATAGGAGTGTATCGGGGTGATACTTTCAATGTTTTACATTCATCTAGACAAACGGCTATTTTTGTTACTATAATATGTAAATAGAAGACATACAAGACCAGAATACATCACGATTATTGTGTGACATTAATTCTGTTCTGGTTTATGTGACAGAATTCACTCAGCTGTCAAATATTTACACCTGCATACTAAAGAATGTGTGTCGTTTAACAATTCCTTCAATAATTGACGGCTTAGCATTTTTGGGATGGTTAATGTTTTAAGGACAAATTAAGTCATATGTTCTAACTGAAGTTTCAGCAATAAGACCTTTCGAGAATATAGTGATACTGATATCCCTTACGAAAAAGACGTTTATTCAAGTGTGCTATTAGTATACTTCTTTTAAGCTAAAAATAGGAAATTATACTTTTAGTCTACTTTTTATGTACTTCTCAGAAATGGGCTTTCTGTACTTCTCAGAAATATACTTAAAATGACATTTAAGTATACTTGATTTATACTTAGAAAAAGTCTAAATATATTTTAGCTATAATTGTGCTCCTAGAATCCGTGTTTTCATTGTTATACTGTAGGGGGCGCTAGTACACATCTTCTGTACAGAATTTCCAAAAAAACACAAGTGAAGAAGAAACCGAAACAACAGATGCTTCCACATGTATTCTAACACGATCATCAGACATAAAACAGCATCAAAACTATGTAACATTATGGAATAAAATGTAGACCAATAAAGAGGTAATAATAACTGTCAAGCTTTGGGGTGTTGATCGACTTTATCTACATTTTGATTATCATTCTGAATCCAATTCATAGTCTTTTTTCAGCTTTTTGTTCAAAATGTTGTTTATTTTGACGTGTCCTGTCTGCGCGAACTGGGTGCGCAGAGGTATGCAGATACATAAGTTGACAGGCAGGTAGGAAAGCTTATTAAAACGCTCGGAACGAACGTTTTGATTGGACGAACATTTCTTGATCCTACACCTTCCACAGAATATATAAATACAGATGAATACATTTAGACCACTTAACTTAATAATTGCTATCGGGATGTGAAGAGACTTTCAACCAGCATAACAAAAAATGTTTCTGAAGACAATCACCTATTGCACCTTTAAGTATAGTTACTAAAATTAACTTGAAGTATACTACTTTTTGGTAAGGGATGTTATCTAAAGACACAGAGGCAGCAAATGGCACAGATAACAGCTGCTTCTTCTGACATAGTGCTTTATCAGTATTTGTTAGACCATACTTTATCTCATTGTTGTTAAGACACCGCCAAGATCGATGTGTCATACTTCACATTGCTGTGAGTTATACCATGTGAATCTTCATGTTTCCACAGGTCCGTCTGCAAACACAGGAATGTGTTGTCTACAGAGGAACATATGACTGCTTACGAAAGACTGTGTCCAAAGAGGTAATAGCTTTCTGTAAGCAAACGTTTTTTTTTTTTATAGCATACATAACCCTTACCAAAAAGTAGTATACTTCAAGTTTATTTTAGTAAGTATACTGCGTTTATAAAGCACATTTGTTATAGCAAGAAAAGCGTAGAAAAATTATGATTGAATGGTTCTGGTTAATTATTGATGATGGTGTATTCATCACTTTGTGGCCTGATTCACTGATCTCATTCAGTGGCTGATCTTTAAAACTATAGTGTGGGTTGTCACTTGTTTCATGTTATTTACAATAGCTTTATGACACTGCAAGCTGAGATGATAGACAATTATGATGGAGTTTGTAAACTTCTTATGTTTAAAAGCCTTTAAAACCACGGCAGCTCTTAGACACACAGAGACATCAAGAATCAGCACATGAATCTCAACAATGGTGACAATCAAAAGCTTCATGCAAGTATACTGCGTTTATAAAGCACATTTGTTATAGCAAGAAAAGCGTAGAAAAATTATGATTGAATGGTTCTGGTTAATTATTGATGATGGTGTATTCATCACTTTGTGGCCTGATTCACTGATCTCATTCAGTGGCTGATCTTTAAAACTATAGTGTGGGTTGTCACTTGTTTCATGTTATTTACAATAGCTTTATGACACTGCAAGCTGAGATGATAGACAATTATGATGGAGTTTGTAAACTTCTTATGTTTAAAAGCCTTTAAAACCACGGCAGCTCTTAGACACACAGAGACATCAAGAATCAGCACATGAATCTCAACAATGGTGACAATCAAAAGCTTCATGCTGCAATGCATGCTGGGTACCAGCACAGGAAAAAACTCATCCATGACTCCCAGCATGCATTGCAGCATGACTAAATTATGCCGTTGAATTGTCCACTTATTTTCTTTAATTCTTACTAGGTGCTTTTATTTTTGTGTTGCGTTTTAGTAGCGTGATGTTTTGTGATGTTCAGAGACGATCTGTTTATTAATTTTTTTGATTGTCACTGATTCATAAGCTGATTTTTCATGTGTGTGTTTCATAGTATGTTAGAGCTTTTTTTTTTGAGTGATGTGTGTGATCTTTCATAATAGCCCGCTTGTTCTTTTGCTCTAATATGTTACCATAGCATTGCTTTGGTACAAAAAGAGACTCTGGACACAATCAGTGAAAGATGGTTATGTCTTTTGCAAATCATAATCAACAGCATCACATACTGTGCCTCTGCCCTTTTTTACCACAACAAATGTGTAAAATAACACAATAGTTAAAGAGACTAAATAAGGATAATGTTAAAAAGTCAAGGTTCAAGATCCCAACTAAAGCAAACACTGATCTCCATCATGGTAGTGTCCGAAAACAACAACATCTAAACCTCTGTTAATTTTCAATAAGCACTTCTGTACACATCTGACAGAAATAGCATCAGTCTGGTTAGTAATGTGAAGCTGGTGATGCTGTTTTAGGAGATGTTTAATCAGATCTTGAGAGATTTAATGTCTTTTATTTCAGTTGATTTCATCTAAGTCTGTGGCTGAAGTCAGTTGTAGTTCTTGTGTTTCTCTTTTCTTCAGTGATTCTGCTTGTTAACAGCAGCTGTTCATCACTAATGCTCAATCATCACTTAATTAATCACAGAATTATCTCATTAACTTCAGCACTGCTTCACTCTGTAGTGTGGACACATTATAAGTGTTCATTTAAAACTGAGGATTTTGTTGTGGGGTTTAAAGGGTTAAAGATGTAAGATGGGGAAAAAACAGCATGAAATGTAATTTAACAGTAATAAACTGTAATTATTTTACGGCCCCAAACTGTAAAAAAAACAGTTATGGCAGCACGGTTGCCAGTAAATAACGTCTCAGGTTACTTGTGTAACCATGGTTCCCTGAGTAGGGAACGAGACACTGCGTCCTCTAGGGGTCGCTATGGGGAACGCCTCGTCGTGACCCGGGTCTGAAGCATACATTGAAAAAACACCAAC